GGGGGTAATCAAGTATCCCGATGTGTCTGCTGGGACATTGTTGTTTCCCTCTCCGCCCGGGTTGGCCCTGACGACCGCACATGGTCGAAACAACCTACCTCCAAAATGACCTAATTGTGTCGATGGAGGTATAAAGCATCTACTGGTCACTATTACAGTTTACTTTTTATTGGAGTTATTGGTCTTGAACGCATAGTCGACCTAGCGACACTCTGTGACTTTTTGTGTATTTGTATATGTATTTATTCACTTATTTATTTATTTTTGGTAAGTGTTTTACAGCGCTCGAAACGGCATCTCTTCAGCTTCTACAATTCGGTCTTCTACCAGAATACATGGAAACATTTTGTATTGACTGATAAGTCGTGTAAGACTCTCATTCCATACGTCACTTGTCAAAACAGCGTAATATGGAGGGTTCTTACACTAACCTGCCCGGTATGACCTCTTGGTAATGTACTAAAGCTTTGTACGATTTGGTCAGACTCGAATAATAATTACTTCTTAAGAAAAATATAAATAAACCAGTATTATCAATTATTTATTCTACCCAGTAATGTATTTTCGAGCAATGTTGGGGGCGTTTTCCCATTTAATTTATTCACGTTCATACTCTTGTTTTGACTAGAGGAAAATGTATAATCTTATTATAATACTGTACATGGTGCCAGTTTTGTCCTTTATGTCCACGTAGTATTTTATAATAATATAATATGTAGCTCTATCTGAGAGGTTCTATTGCAAAACGCACATCACTCCAAATCGGGGCATTTTCGGAAAACCTCGCCAAATCCATACATTCTTTTGGAAATTCAACCATAAGAAGGTGTTGGCAACTTTGTTTTTCGACTTCAAAATGAACTGAACCCCTCGGAATTCAATGATACCATTACGTTTCATTCATTCGTTTGGGTTGTTTTTTTGGGGGGGGGGGGGGAGTGGGGAGAGGGGTCTGGAAAGTACGTTTTGGGGAGATTTTTTTTTTTTTATTTTAATTTATTTCTATGTTTTGTAGTGAATTGATATAGATCTAGATCTAGTGCGTTTTGCCATAGAGGCCTTTCTATTTTTTAATAGCACGGGTTTTGATCAGTACTGCTGATAATGGTAATATACAGGAATTGTCAAGTACACAATATGAGAACTTGATAAACATGTGTAAGGACGTGGTTCAATCAGGCGCTCGTCAATTTTGGGGCATGCAGAGTTATTAGTTTCATTAATTGTCTATCTTTTGATTTTAACAAAGTACCCACCTATATTGAAAGAAAGGGCAGATATTTGTGATAGAAAGAGGTAAGGGTCACCTGCTAGTTGTGGTGGAAAAATAGCAAGAAAATAGATGCCAAAGTTTGGTGACTTCCAAAGCTTGAGAGTCTTAGGAAACTGAAAATTTACATATTTTGTGCCTTTAATCAACGTTTTGCAGAAAAATCCACTCAGAACAAATGTGTTTTAAAATACCAAAAATAAAATATTCCCAAAAATGTGTTAAAACCGTACCAGAATTGATGGTTGTTTTGATTTCATTAGTTAGACGAGCGGCTGATTTCACCACGATACTTCACAATGCAAATGTATATTATATATA